GTGTGGTGACTCCTCTCCCTTTCCTGCCTGCATTTCTGATGTGCCCAGCGTGCCATTGCCCCACTGGTGATGAGGGCACACTTGGCTCATGCCCCGCCCGACTCTGACCACACCCCCCCCCTCCAGCAGGGCTCTTGCACAGATTTCTGGAACCCCCCTGGCCCCTGTGCCCACGCTCTTACCAGAAACCCAGCACTTATTTCCTGTTTTAAGATCAACTGGGTTTAAAGAGTTTGAGGGTGTTTTACTCGTGCTGTCAGCCTGACCCAGGGCAGAGCTCAGCACCAGCGTGTGCAGCCCTGCCCTTCCCAGCCTGGGCTGGGTCCAACACGGCGCTTTTCCCTGCCAGCTCTTCCCTCCTGGCATTCACCTGCCAGCTCTCCTCCTGGCATTCCTCGTTGGGAACAGCAGCTCTCCCAGCCCTGTGTGTATAACTGCGCTCGTGTGTGGTCACTAAAGGGTTACACGGTCACTAAAGGGTTACAGTCCGTACAGCCGAGCGGGAAACCCCGAACCTCGGAGGCAGCCAAGGGAAGGCACATCAACATCAAACAGCCCTGACTCACGGCGGGACAGCTCAGTTGCAGTTCAGCTCCCGGCCGGCTCACACCTGCGACCTGCATCACTCCATCCTTTTATGGTTCTCTTTCCACAGGTAGGTTGATCTTTATTTCCAGTTTCTTTTCCTGAGACATCTGTATGTATTAACTTAGAGATTCTCTCATACTAAGGAAATATCTTTGCTATGAGTTATTTTTTAAAAATTGCTTTATAATTAGAAACTTGAAATGAACAGCTTTATAGCAGCCTTCCTCTGCCTGCACAGCCGGGACAGGATGGCAAAGTTATCCCAGACTTTTAGTGTCTTACTGAAAAATAACACTAAACTCTGCCTTGCATAGGTCACCTATGGAATACTGGTTTGGGATTTGATGGTGAGATTTTAGAAGGATCTAGAAGAAAAAGCATTCAAAAGAGCAGAACTATTGCAAAACTGTCTTTGGTACCTTGCAATCTGGGGATTACAGAGAGACTTTGTTATCTGTAATTCCATGACACATCCATATTCAGTGATTAGACCTTCCAACTGCTTTAGGAATTTGGGTAGCACCTGCATAAATAAAACATTTCTCATGTCAGAGTTAAACTCTTTTGGAGATTTTCAGCAAATCACTTGATGTTGAGGTACAGAAACAGATGGACAAACTCAGACACGGAGAATGGTGCTTGGCATGTCATGACATGGTTTGTAACTGTGAAGGTTGAAGTAGTTTTCATTTTGATTTTAAAAAATCCCTAGTTAAATTAGGTTTTGAAAATCCAAAATAGGACCTGATGATTAGCTTTAATTTTTATCTAAGTAGCCAGTTAGCAAGAGTTTAAAAAATTCTTATATCTTTATTTGATTCAATTTTAAATAAATATAACTTCTTTCAGGAATGGCTTAGGTGGTAAATTCATTACTTGATCTTCCTTGCACTGTGTTTGGAGTTGAGTACATTCTTTTAGCCATTTAAATTATTACTTGTTGCTGTATATAATAAAAAGGAGACATAATTTTGCTGCTGACAGCCTTTTGATTACCTCCTTTATATTTAAGACTGGTAGATCTGTGTGGTCTGTCTTTGCAATTTTAAGGGATAAATGGCTCATTTGGAAATTTATCTTCATTCAAAGGAATATTTTCAGATTTTATGAAACTGTTAAACTCTGTCAGCCTCATACCACATTGGATTTATTCTTTAAGGAAGCCCTTAGAGAAGCACCTAAGGCAGTTATTGCTTCCAAGCTACAATAATATAACAAAAGGCAAAAAGTTCAGCTGTGTTTTCCTGTCAGAATGAAATGCTGTTAAAGCTGAACTGGTAAATCAGCTGCTGCACTTTTATTTGCATTTTGAGTATGGTTGGGTGCAAAACTCAGCTTGGTACCCCTCTGATTGTGGCTGTGCCTGCAGGGAGAGACTGAGGTGAACCCAAAGGAAATTGGTCATGAACCAGAGGTGCAGCCAAGCTCATGGGCTAATTTAGCTTCTGGTTTTTGTTTCTGTTTCACTTGTGGAGGAAAGGTTACCTGCTCAAAGTCAGAAGACTTTCAGGCCTTCTGCATCCCAGGAACTATTTTTGTAGAGCACAGTTCACACTCAATAGTCCTTCACAGTTACTTCAGTCCCCTCATCTCATTCCTTTTCCAGCCCAGGTCTGCTGAGCTGCACTTTGAGTTCTGACCCACTGACCCTGCAGTGATCCTTACCAATGCTTTTATGCCATGTGTTTTCTTAGATTGCTTGTTTTCCTCCTTCACCACTGACTTTTTGTTACCTCTAGTCTAATGGAGCTTCAGAGATGTAATTAAAACTGGTACTCACATGGTAGGACAGTGATGCTGTGCAGAAGTTCTCTCTGATCCCTGTGTGTTGCCATGCAAAGTGTCTGAGATGCAGCTGGCCTGGAGAGGGGCTGTAAGAGCCTGGACTGGCCAAATTAGGGGCTGCTGTAAAGACACAACTCCATTGATCAGAATTCTGCCAGTCTACAACAGCAGAAAATTTGCCTTTTACCTTGCTTTTGCATTCACATGTGATTTATTAAAGAAGATATGCAAGAATGATGCAGAACATGCTGACATGTGTTATTGAATAATTGCCTTTTCAATCTAACTGTAAGGTGCTAGTTTGTTGTCCACATAAATTCAGTATCGCTTTAAAATCACACTTTTTAATATAAATAATGGCCTAACATTTCAAAGTCATCAGATGGAAATAATGATGAGCAACTAATTAGCACCTTGCAGCCTCAGATGGCAAGTTAGGTCCAGGCACTCCTTGGCAATTAGTGCATTTTTCCTGTCTTTATGAAGGAAGTCTGACACTGAGTGGTGAAAGAAGGGCTTTTGCATTAGTTATTTGGGAAGTAAGGGGTGGGGCAACTTCACTGTGCTTTGGCAGTAGTGACAAAAAGTAGTTCTTAAAACATTTTTCTTTTCTACTGTTTCCCTCCAGGCAGCCCTCAAGAAATGGCCAATCCACTCCCCGTGGTAGCCCAGGAGGATTTGGAAAGCTTTACAGTGACCAGAACAGGCTCAGGCTTTGCACTCAAAGCCTTCCACATTCCTTGGAACACTCCCATCTCCGTGAAGCTGCTGAGCAGCCAGGACACGACAGAGAGGTGGGTGTTTGATTTGCCAATAACCCCCCAGGGGAGCCCAGGGCAGCGATGGCACCGCAGGGACTGTCTGAGCCCCAGCACAGCTCCAGCCCTGCAAACACTGACAGCCTGGAGGCACCTGGACTGACAGACAATGGCTTTGGACAATTTCTGGTACAAGTAGAGCTTCCTCCTGAAGTAATTAATTATGTACTGTAATAATGTATCCAAACCCTGATCAGCAATCCCAGCATGGTGTGGGATTATCTTTCTGGAGGTCCCCAAAGAGATCTCAACTGACTTTAATCCAAACCAGCACGTACAGGTGAGAGCAGGAAACACATCAGGAGGGAGGGTGATGGGCAGGATTACAGTGCAGTGAGATGTGCATGGAAGAACATCATTTCCTGGGAAATGGGAACATCACTTACAGCAAAAGGACACAATACAAGCTTTCTCCTGCCTTCACACTTCAATCCCTCTTCAAACTGTACTCTTATGTCCATATTAAAGTATCCAGAGGTCTTTCACTTTACATTGCAAAAATCCACTACACGAGGGATTGCTTCATTTTCTTAGAGTTGTTTGGAAGATTACATAATACGTGTTTATTGGTAGAATTATATCAATAATGCTTGTGATCAACCATATGGTTCTCTCTCATGTCCACATCCTGCAGTGTTTCATCTCCAGCTGGAACCCCCTCCAGTCTCCCCTGCCTCTGACTGGATGTTTCTTACAGGGAGTGGAAGTTGCTGCTTCAGGACATAGCAGGTGTCAGATGTTGTGAGTCTGAACGTCTCCTGCCTCCCCTTGGGATCTACCAGTGCCAGGGACTCGTGGGGCTGGTGACTGCGTGGATGGACAATGGATCCCTGCACTCGCTCATCCACGAGGTACAGAAAAGGTGTCACCTTCTGGGTAGCAAAATTAATTAAAAGATCAGCCAACAAAGAACAAACAGCATGTGAATTATGGTCACAATCTGTTCTTCAGTTTCTGGATTGTGCTTCTGTTTGTTAGTTCTGTTTGTTGCCAAATGAAAACGTGACTGGCAACAATTTCCCCCCAAACCCTGTGTTTTGTGTAACTCAGCACCAGCTGTACCCAGACCTCCCGACTCCCTTAGTCCTGAGGATCCTGGCAGACGTGGCTGAGGGGCTGCAGCACCTCCACAGCCTCCACCCTGCCTCCTGCCACTGCAGCCTGAAACCTTCCAACGTGCTGCTGGATGGGCAGTACAGGGCCAAGGTAGGAGCTCCAGCTTTTCATCTATTGATGTAAAACCCAATTGCATACATTTATCTGAAGAGTCAACATTTAGTACCGAGACCTGATGTACTGTTACTCAAATTATTTTTTCTCTGTAGATATCAGATTATGGTCTAACCAACTGGAGGAAAGAGCAGCTGAGGTCAGCCCTGCAGAACCAGAGGAGCTGCCAGGATTTAGTGTACCTCCCTCCTGAAATCCTTGAAGGAGGCCTTCCTTCCCAGGAAGGTGATATTTACAGGTGAGTGGAATTTTAAGGGCAGGTCATACCTAGTCCAGGCTACACTCTACAATGTTGCCAAAATACTTATCTTCAAAACATTACAGTAAAAATGCCAGACCTACACAATGCAGTGGGATAGTATTTCACATGAGGCCAATTACAGCAGTGAATTAAATTTTAAATTCCCCATATTTGGTGAATAAGATACCAAGGTTAAGAACTGTTTTCAAAGTCAGTCACATAAATATTTATACAACGGACCCAAATGTTTTAAAAACGTAACATAGCTGCCAAAACTTTCAGATATATTTAGAAACCTCATAACTGCTTCCCACAGTTTGTAAGTGTGAACTCGTTTTGGCTTTAGTCTCAGCAAGAACTGTTTATGCCTAGAGAGGCCCAGATAAAAATGAGACCTTTCTCTCAATAGTGTCCCATTAAGGTCCTGTGGGATCTCACTGAGATAACTCACTGAGCCACTCCAGCATTCACACTTTGAACAAAGTGATTCACACAAAGGAGGGAGGTCAGCACTGCCACGTGTCCCTTTGGGTGTGTCACAGGCATTGTGGTGCCTCAGAGCTGGGCACTCACATCACAGAGAACTCTCAAGAACACCACTTTCTGATTTCTGAGCTCTGATGAAACCAACAGATTTAAATTCCTGCTTTATTGTCACAGAGGCAGGCTCTTAGAGTAATCTAACAATTCATACACTTGAGGAGACCTGTAAATGATGGGGCTGATCTGATGTTGTTCACAAACACAAAGGTTTTGCACAGGAAGAATGGAGCCTTACTTTCAGGTAGCATAAATAATTTTCCAACATTTCATTCATGTATAATATATACAATATAAAATATGTAGTACACAATGTATATATTTTTTATATAATATATTATATAATGAAATGCTCAGATGTGACTCAGGTGATGAGACAGGTGTATATCTAGACAGTGGTACAACAGAGAAAACAAAAATACCTGTCATATATGAAATACTAAGTACATTTAAGTTACAATGTAGGTCCACATTATATTAATATTTCCTAGAGAGTATAAGTAAAAGCACTTCCAGGTTTCTATGTGAAAATAAGGTAGAAGAGGGGGTTCTTTTAAACACTGTAATTCATCACTACAGCAAGGTGTGAGTAAGCAGATATGTTTATCCTAGAACTGCCCCTTCGCCTTTTGATTGCTTTGCTCCTGACTCACCCATAGCCTGTTTTCTCTCTTTCAGCAGCCCCCTCTCTTCTGCCTCTGATTTTGCAGATCAGTCTTTTTATCAAACAACTGTATTTTATACCATTAGAGTTGTGGGTTATATATATCGATCTATGGTATCACTGGAATTCTTCCTAGGATGTTAGAAAAGGAAAAAAGTATTTGGAGCCCCATAAAAATTTGCTGAAGAAAACAGATACATCAGAATCAAGTTTTTGTAGGTTCATAGATGTGCTTGTTGGTACCTGCTGAAAAGTCCAGCTCTTTCAGTTGCTATTGAAATTACTTGAAAGCAAAATAAAAATAGAGAAAAGAGAACAAAAGATCCCAAAATTCACAAGAGCAAAGGGAGATAAGGTGGTAACCTGAAATGGAATTCTAACTGAACCTATGTTTAAAAAAAATAAATTTTAACTGATTATTTTATAAGAGCAGCTCAGTTGAGAACTGAAAAAATCTCGTCAAATTAGGAAAGACTTGGATAGACTGCCTTGAAAAACTCCTTTTTCTTAAAACAATAAACTTGCTCTTAGAAACAAGAACACAGATACAGATTGCAAACTAATGAATGGTCTTTCCCTGTTTTGGGTTTTTTTTCAGTTTTGGAATAATGTGTTGGGAGAGCCTAAGCAGACAGAAACCTTTTGAAGGTATTTATTTCTGTTGTTCATGTCAGACTTTGTGTTGTCCAAACCTTGTCCACAAATTCCCTTATTTTAGGGAAATTATGATACAAACAGCACTGTCTTTTCAGATGTCCCTTTGCCTTCTCTTACTGTTACAGCACAAAGCTCCACATTCCAGGATGGAAAGATCGGGATTTCTCCACAACCCCTCAGTGTTTCCAAAGAATTGATCTCTCTTCCCCCATTTGCAGCATCTCCCTGTGCTTGCTGAAGCTCCGTGTCACTGAGTGGAGTTTTCCACTTTCCTTTAGGGAGCAGAAACATCACATCTGTCAGTTATTAAGTGACAGTTATTGAATGAGCATAAGACTCATTTGTACAGCTGCCATGAGTTTTAAATACCAATGAAGAAATGTCAGTTCATGGTGAATCCTGTTCAGGAAGCAGGAAAGCTTGCTTTGTGTGAGGATGGAAGTGCGAGGATCTAGGAATGCTCTCTGTTTGGTGGGAGTGGATATCAGTGAAAGGCAAAACTGACTGAAGGACTCCTGCATTTACACCCTGAGAACCTCTGACCAACACTGCCCAGAACAATCTCTCCATGTGTGGACAGCTTGTGGCTGCCACCTTGAGGCTGCTCCAGCTGGGGTTTGTACAGCAGGAGTTCTGTTCTTATAATGCAAGAGTCAGGCTTTTTACAAACTGTGCTTAGAATAATCACATGTATTCCTGAGGTATCTGTGCATGTAGTTCACAATGCAGGTTTATATATCTATTTATGCCTCAGTATTTGGACAGGAGTCTTTACCCTGAAATGTCCTGTTCCAATCCATAAGTAGCTATAGCTGTGGTTAAAGGTTATGGTAAAAGAGTGTTAATACATTGTTGCTTTTAAAACAGTGGTCTTTGTTTTAAAATACACAATATGACCTATGCTGAATGTAATTTAAAGAGAGTTCTGAGGTCTCTAATACTTTTTGTAGTGACATTTTCTTTTAAATTGCAGGTCAAAGGACCCTGCTGGAGGCTCTGACAGGAATCTGCTGCAGTTCCCAGCCTGACCTTTCAGAAGAGTTTATACCCAGTGATTTTCCTGAGAGGAACAGACTATTGCACCTCATTGCTCTGTGCTGGCAGCAGGAGCCAGCTCACAGACCACGGGCTGCAGGTGACACTCGGGATGTGCTCTCTGTGTCAGACTGGTGATGGGGAGGGTCATTCCAGGACCATTATTCTGGAGAGGGTCATTCCAGGAGCATTATTCAGCACTCCAGATGGCAGCACAGCTGAGGTGGGATGGGCTTTAGATCATGGGAGTACCTGAGAGATTCCTTCTGACTGAAACTTCTGACCAGAAGTTGCCTTACTTGTCTCCAAAACTGTGTTTAGTATAAATAAAAATAAAGGAGGGGATGTTATTGTTCAGATAGATACACATATCTATCTTCACTAGCTTAAGAAAGATCAAACTGCCTTAAGCATTTCTCAATTCCAAGGCATAACCAGTTCCTTTTGAAGTGTGCTATCATTGTCTACTTCAGTGGAATTGGTACGTTTAGCATCTGTTTTTAAAAAGATGATTGAGAAATGTTAAAATTGTGATATTTCAGGACTTTTGAAGTTGAAATGCTGAGGAAGCAATTTGCCTATAGCTTTGTTGTGATGGATTTATTGAGTCCTGAGTAAATGTTTTGCAATTAAGTTCATACATCTGTGTGAACATCTAAGAAAATATGATTTTCATGTGACTGGAACCGTTCTTTAAAATCAGGTCAAAGAGGAAACCAAGAAAAAGTATGAGGTGGAAGTTGTGTTAAACTCATTTTGTCTAGTTCATACATCTTCTCAATATAATAGTGAAGTTAGTTGCAACATGCTGATGTCTAAATATATATGTGCTTTCATACACAATGTGGTATTTAAAATGCTTTATTACCCCTGCAGAATGTGTAGATCTTCTAAATGGAATTTTGACTGGTATAAATAAGGAGGTAATTTCCACAGCAATCTACAGTCTGATGGATGCAAAGGTTAGTGCAAAATTAAGTTTTGTTCTCCTACAAGGATTTTACTTGATTTGTGATCCAAACCCAGGACAGGCCTGGTGTTGATTGCTTTAATGGCCACACCAGAGAGCTGGAGCACACCCTTTGGCACTCCAGGCTCACTTAGAAATTGTAGAAAATATATTGGGAGGTTCTTTAGAAAATAAATCAATTGATACCTGCTTTTTTAAAAATATGATACCTTCTTTCCAGTCACCACCTGTCGCCAGCCTGGTAAACCCATGTGAGCAAGAACAAATATTAGCCTCAAGTCCTTCAGATCAGGGCCAGAACCAAGGACTGTTTTGTGTGTACTGGTTACAAACCAAGGAGTTCCAAACCTGGACAGTGTTTGTACCTGCTGGAGCAGCACCATATCAGCACTGTTCTGTGCCCTGCACTCTTTCTACACTGACATGCTTTCAGGAACAAGGCACTTCTTGTCCTGCAGCCTCAGAGGGTTCTCTGATACCACAGGAATGGGTTGGGAATGGCCAACAGCTGAGGGACACAGCCAACTCCATATATGTCTGCAGTGCCATGGGAAATCTGGCACAAATGTGACTCCCACAAATAGAGCTGTCTCCTACCTAACTGTCTCCTACCTAAGTTAACTGTCTCCTACCCAAGTTAACTGTCTCCTACCCAAGTTAACTGTCTCCTACCCA